GCTGCCCCGGCGCTGCGCTGCTCCGGCGGCCTGGGGAGCTGCTTCGCGGAGATAAGAGATGATAGGGTATCCGAGATCACATTCCCACACTCTGAATTTTCCAATAACGCCAAGAGTACTGACCTAACAATTAACTGTGTTGCAAAGGGGGCCTCTTCACCTAGCCCAAAGACAAACAATGCATTTCCACAACAAAGAATACTCAGAGAGGCAAGGAAATGCCTTCAAGCAACTACTACACACCGTGCAGATAACAATACAATAGCTGCTAGGTTCTTAAATAATGATTCTTCATCAGCGGCAGCAAATTCAGAGAAAGATTCCAAAATCCCTCATTGTATTGAATTTGCCACGGATTTGCCCTCTTTACAAACTGATCCTGAGGAGGATGCTGCTTCTCCAGGGGCAGTAGCGGCAGCTGAGCTCCAGTGCACTGATACAGGCAATAAGGCATTGCCATTCCTGCACAGCATTAAAATCAAAACAGAGGACAGCAGTGCGAACGACGAGTATGAGCCTGACCTTACAACAACACATAAGCTAAAGTGTGAGTGCAATGATACTAAGGATGAGTTTTACGGTGAGACTGAGAGTAATAACCAGGACGCTTTATTAACAGCCAAGGAAGATTCTGCATGCACTGAGAAAGAAACCACTTCCTTAAACCCGCTGACTCAGAGTCAGGTCCTCTCATGCACTTTAGGTACTCCAAAACCTGAGGATGGGGAGTATAAATTTGGAGCAAGGGTGAGAAAAAATTACAGGACACTGGTTTTGGGAAAGCGACCTGTACTGCAGACTCCTCCAGTCAAACCAAATTTGAAATCAGCTCGAAGTCCACGTCCTACAGGTAAAATCGAGTCACATGAAGGAACACTGGATGATTTTACAGTTAACAATAGACGCAAAAGGGTAGCCAGCAATGTAGCATCAGCAGTGAAAAGGCCGTTTAATTTCATGGCAAATTTTCCCTGTCCACCATCACTAATTATTGGCAATGATGGGGATTTGTTGCCAGCTTATTCCTTAAACACCACTAAGGATTCCCAACCACCTCACAAGGCCCATCCTGTATGGAAATGGCAGCTGGGCGGTTCTGCAATACCTCTTCCACCTAGCCACAAATTCAGGAAATTTAATTAATAAAATAGTTTGGAAAATATTTTCTTGAACCACCTTTAACTTTCTTACGTTTTTTTTTAAACTCTGCAGGATGGTTTGTACAAGCCCATTAATGCTATACACACTTTTGGAATCCTATTTTATCACAATGTGAAGACAGAAACCGGATTACTATTTTGTTTACCATTACAACAGTGGTTTTTTATTTGGGTTTTTTTACATATTTTTTTTGTTCTGTTGCATTTGGGTTTTTTTTTGTTACATTCCACAGAGTACTTCAGGCTAAAGACTCAAGTTAAACTCGGTTATTATGGTAGAGCTGGAACACTTTACTGTTTAAATGCTAATAATGCACCAGTACCTCAATTCAACTGCTGCAAATAAATGTCAAAAGGTTGAATAATAAATATTAGAATGAGCCATTAAATTTATGCACTAGATTTCGAAAATGGAAGTCTAACTGTTAATTCAGTTAAAGTTTGTTAAGTTACATGGTTGCACAGTAAGGGTTCACTATAATTCAACGTGGCAGCAGCCTGCTTTTCGGGAGCTTTGTTTTCGGGTGCAGGGGTGTCTTTTTCGAAAAGCAGTTGCACTTACTCCTTTTTCTCTGGTTTGGAAAGGCTGGGGTCCACCTGCGAACCCAGCTCTGGGAAAAGCTGCCTCATCTGAAACCAGTAAATAAACGTGGAATTCTATTTTTTGTAAAAGGGTGTCTTTTTACTTGTACAGCCACTCTTTGCAACTGGGAAGCCTTTTTGTTTCACCCAGAGGTCTTAAATAAGGTTAGCGTTACTCACTAATGTCATACTTAAGTTGTGGTCTGAACATGCCCCTTACAAACTTGCAAAGCAACTAAACTATTTGCCCAGCTAGCAGTACAATTTATGGTCCAGCCCCTCACACTGGCTGGAGGAAATAGCAAAGCAGTAAATACAACACAGAAAGTGAAACGAGAGGCCGTTGTAAGTGGAAAGAATACACAAAATGGGAAGACCATGTTATTCATAGCTTTTTGGCACCAAAACTCAGGCTTTTCAACCCTGTTACACTTCCCAGTTCTATCGTCATCTGTTGAAATTTGTTGTGGTTTTTTTTTTTTTTTTTTTCCATGCCATCCTCTCTATGTAGCAGAAACATTTCTACTGCACGTGACAATCAGAGGCAATTATCTGTATTTGCACTTAATATCGAAATAGTCGAACTGGCAGACTTCTAGAGTCTAGCCCTCGGTAAGACATGCTGGTATAATATATTGTGATGATGGAAGCAGTAAATCAAAATTATGGAAATTTGCACTGTTGAAAAGCATGCTTTAGCTTTATTTTCAATTAAAAACAGTTTTTTAAAAAATTCTGATTCCATACACTTTGAATTATTGCAGAGTTATCCGTGGTTTCCTCTTCGTTTGTAAGTTCACTGTTTTTATTCGGAGGAAATACGCTTCAAGAGGTTAACTGTTTCCCTTCCCCCCCCAGACCCTCGAAAAGAAAGGGGAAAAAAAAAAAAAAAAAGGCTGGAGGCCGAGGTGGAGGCAGAGGAGAGGACGGGGGAAGGTCTCTCTTGTGGGGGGAGGACGGGTACAGCAACTCTGAAAACAGCCTGAAAAGTTTGCAGCTTGAGAAAGGCAGTTATAATTGAGTTGCTGAATCAGCAGAGTTTAGGATGAATAATTGCTGGTTTCTTTCTTTGGATTAGCATTTTATTTATACTAGATCATTCCCAAATTAAATTTTAAGGATTCCACTCATCGATCAATCCCGGGAGAATAATTTACCGTAAATCAAAAAAGGAAAACAAAGCAACAATGTAATGTTTACTGTGTGACTCAAAGTCAACATTTCTGATGGCAATCCGCTGCCTGGGTTTCAATTTTTTTAATTCCTGCCTTTTGTGATGCCCTCTCCCAGCTCCTCCTGCCTCTAAATATTCCTAGCAGCCATTAACTGATTTCAGATCTGTTTACTATATCCACACCATAGTTTCCTTCTCATTGTAAAAGGCCTAGTCTAAGAATACCTGCAGCCAAATATATTTAGAAAGAGTAAAC